CCAGGAGCTAAGGGGTGGCTCAGCTAGTAATATGCTTGCCTTGCAATCAGGAAGAGGAAGAAAGTTTAAGACTAAGCCCTTCTAGGACTGTCCAGAGCCGACAACAGGGAATTTCTGAGCAGTGGTGGTTACTCTGAGCTCTGACCTGTGACTCCCTCTCTTGGGGGAAGATGGGTCTCCTGCTTCGTTTCATCTGTTCAGACAAGACAGGCAAGCCTGTTGTTTTCCAAGCCCATGCCCACATATTTATTGAGCAGATGGAGGTGGCACAGAGATGACCGTGGACAGGACCCTACAGAGGCCAGGAAACACCTCTACCCCATGTCTACAGGGACACAGAGCAGTGTGGAATGTATAGATCAAACCCCGAAGTCTGATCCTCTGCCTGGCTAGCTCCTTAGAGAAGTACCCAGTGTGAGGTTCTGGTCAGTCTGCTGAGACCAGGCAGTTGGCCAGCATTCAAATTCCCCAGCTGAGCAGACAGAATCGCTGCCTCCTCACCCCACTTCCTCCTGTAACCACTTTCCTCTGGGCACGAATGCCTCATTACCTGTTAGAGTCACGCATGACACCCAGCACACGCAGGGCAGAGGGAAGACTTTACTAGTGCAGATTCTCATGCTCTGATTTCTTCTTTTTTTTTTGGTTTTTTTGAGACACGGTCTCCTCGTAGACCCATCTGGCCTGGAACTCACTATGTAAACCAGGCTGGCCTGGACTCACAGAAATTCGCCTGTCTCTGCCTCCCTAGTGCTGGGATTACAGGTGTGCACCACCACGCCCTGTCTACCCTTAGTTGTTTTTTTTATAATAGCAACAGTATGATCTGGGCACAGTGATGGGTATTTATAATCCCAGCACTCAGGAGGCTGAGGCAGGAGGATTATGAGTTCAAAGCCAGCCTCTGCTACACGGAGGGACCCTGTCTCCAAATAAAATATAATAAAATAGCAACAACATCCCACATTCTTCCCCTTTCAGTTTACCTATGTCAGCCATAGCATGTCCCCTCTAGAGCCTGGGTGCCCTTGGCCAAGCAAAGGGGAGACCAAGTGTGCTCAGAGGACCTCATCGGAGGTTCTTCTGTCTCCACCTGTCACCCAGCGAGGGGTCCCGGCCATTTGCCAGGAGCAGAGGCAGTTTACCTAGTGCCTGGCATTTGGAAGGTGCTCAAGGGGCGCATCTCCTCTATCCTCCCGCCCTGTACAGGGGGCCTAGGTGGCCACAGAACAGTCCCATGGTACCCTGGCTTCCTATCTGTACGAAGGTCCTAAGGGCTTCCTCTGCTTCCATCCGGATGACCCATCTGCTGGGTGAGTACTGCTTTTCCAGCTCCTGCAGGGAAGATGGGGCTCCGTGAGACTTTCCCTCACAACAACTGGGTGTGTCCCATGCATTCCCACACCCCCAAACCCAGAGAAGACCCTCCCCAATACCCTCAACTTTCTCCTGCCCCTTCAATTTCCCGCCAGTCTCCCACTAGCTGTCCCCAACTGGTACTTCAGCAGAACACTCAGATCTGTGGTGGAGGGGCACCCAGTGGTGACTATGCCCTTAATGAACAGATAGCCTTAGTGAGAAACGAGGTTCTATAACGGGGTCCAGTTGATGACATTATGGTTACAGAAGCTGAAACCACAGAAGGCCAGGCAGCTGTGTGGCCACCACCAACAAAATGACATGGAGTCAGTTATCACAAGAGGGCACTTTTCTGATAGGAGATGGACACAGGGTCACAGGGACAGGGGGCCGGAAGAGGGAATCAAAGGTCAGTTTGAAAATGCAGTCAAGTCAAATGGCTGAAGCCCAGAGGGAGTAAAAAGCCATTATGACACGTCTATACTCCCAGCACTGTGGAGGCAGAGGCAGGCAGATCTCTGTGAATTTGAGGCCAGCCTGTTCTACATTATAAGTTTCAGGGGAGACAGTAATACCCCCTCTCTACCAAAGATAAACAAAAGGTAAAAAGAGGGCTGAGGATATAGTTCAGGGACAGAGTACTTGCCTAGCACATATGTGTAAAGCACTGGATTTGTTCCCTAGTACCATGAGAAAGAAAGATGTTCACATTCAGTGCATTAAGTAATAAGGAGGTCGAGTATGGATAAAGGGCTCTAGATCATAGGAATCCTGAAGATAGTGTGGCCTCCCTCGAGGGCCTGGGGCTGAACCCCACCAATCTTCATGTGGTGCTGGTCGTTTTACCCTGGGCAGGTTGCTTTGCTTCTCCTTCAGTCTCCTGTTACAATGGGCATACTGTGACGTGCCTTGTAACGTTAGGGGAGAGAAGGCCTATAAAAAAGTGACCAATTCAAACCCCTCAGATGTGGCAGCCTCCTCCTCCAGCTGAACGGGGCTCTTGGCCAGAGGTCTTTGGAGTTGTATAATCCACCTGCATGAGTCAATATTGGCTATCATTTTTAGTTTGTTTTGTTGAGATAAAGTCTTGTATCCCAGGTTGGCCTCAAATTCACTACACAGCTGAGGTTGGCCTTGAACTCCTGATCCTGCCTCTACCTCCCAAGTGAGGGAAAACAGGTGTGTGCCATATAAATCTATCGTATTTATAATGATAACACAATAGGTTCCTGAGAGTTCTGTTAGTGTAGCCGTGTGTGTGTGTGTGTGTGTGTGTGTGTGTGTGTGTGAGAGACTGGGGGTGAAAGACTGGGACAGCATCCATAACTTCCAACAGATTCTAAGAGGTATCTGTTTATGACCAAAAACAAAACAACACTGTTCAAATGATACAGGATAATTAAGTCAGAAAATCATAACAGATCAATTACAGAAAGTGCCAGGTACTGTGCTGTCAGGCCTTGAGTAACCTTTGCGACAACCCACTCCATCGGAACCATACACGCTAGTGAGTGCAAAACATGTTTCTAGGCTCAGTCTACGCCATAACCTTTCCGTTGAAAATAGAACATTCTGAAGAGGCATAATACAGGAGTCCGCCCCGGAGGGTGTCTGCCTGGCTTGGTGGGGCGCAGCAGTGACCCTCAGCCCCTGGCATTTGTCAGCCTCTAGTTACGTAAGCACAGGCCCAAACAACATTGCAACACCTGAGTGGGGTCCAAACAATTCACCCCTAAATCGCTTTCAGTCCCTCGCTATCTGTCCTCCAAGCCGGGCTAGCCGGCTAACCAGGCGAAGTCCGCCCGGCAGGGGAAACAATAAATCCGGTGCTCAGACCGTGGGAAACCGGCCGTGACCGCGGGAACCAGGGGTCTAGAGGCTTCCTGGAGCAAGCTGTCCCCGGACGTGCGCTGCAGCTGTCCCCGGATGTGCAGCGGACCTACCTCTGCAGGCATGGTCCTCCAGGGAGCCCGGCACCGGCCCAGCGCAGCGGGGACGTCCATGCCGCGGTCCTGCGCGAGTGCGCGCGGCGCACGCCTTTTGTGGGCGAACGAGGGGGCGGGTCCAGACCGGCCGCGTCATCACAGCCGCTCTCCGAAACCGCCCCCTCCGGTGGCAGGCGATTGGCCGGCGCTCAGAGGCTTAAAGGGGCGCGCGAATCCGCCCCAGCCTGTGGCCGGAGCCCGGGAACTTGGGGCGCCATGAGTTGCATCAATCTGCCCACCGTGCTGCCCAGCTCCCCCAGCAAGACCCGGGGGCAGATCCAGGTGCATGGGGGCGGGGGGCTGGGGACGTGTGGCCGGGACCCCGAGTCCGCGTGCAAGGACCCTTACCATGACTTCTCCTCCAGGTCATCCTCGGACCCATGTTCTCTGGAAAAAGGTAACGGATGGGCTTTTGGGCGGGGGCACCTCTCCCCTCTGGAGGACCCTGTTCGGATTGCACCGCCCGGGGCCTGATGCTGCTCCCAGGTCCCCCGGGCCCGCCTTCCCGCCCAAATCTCTGGAATCTGTTGTCCCTCCCGCGCAGGCCTAGCTTTCTCCTTCCGGGAACAACTACTCCTAACTGAGGCCAGTCCGGACTGGCTTACCAGGGAGCCCCCATCCCCAATCCTCAGACGTCCACAGGGGATGGAGGGTCTGGGTGCCTTTGGACTGTGCACCGCCTTTTCCACGGCTGTTTGCCTCATGCAGTTAAAAAAACAATTATTCCCCCACGAGCTCGTCGCCAGCCACGGGTCCTAGCTTCCGCTGGGGTGAGATGAGGGGGTGGCCTCTGGGGACCCCGCACCCGGAGTCCGTGCTGCCCCCGACCCCCAGTTTTTGCGGAGCTTCTGTTGGTTGGTTGGAGACAGGGTTTCACTGTGTGGCCCTGGGGCTCATCATGTAGACCAGGCTAGCCTGGAACTCACAGAGCTCCTCCTGCCTCTGCCTCCTGAGTGCTGGGATGAAAGTTCTGGGGTACCACGCCTGGGGTCCCCCAGTTCTGGAATGGCTAGTGTCACGCGCCCCAAGCCCCTTGCTTGCAGGGGGAGGCTCAGGGTCGAGTTTGGGGACCCAGAACCAGTCCTTTCGGTGCTGCCTTAAAAGGCTCTGTGAAGGTCATTGACAAAACTCAGCAGCTGGGGTCGAGGTCACCCCGGAAAACCCCGGCGCGCGCTTTCGGGCTTCCTGTCGTCCTTGGTGCAGTTCAGGCTGTGCACCACTAGGTGGTGGTGGCGAGCCACTTTGGGCTCACCTGCTGGGGTCGCCCCTGCAGCACCGAGCTGATGAGGCGAGTCCGGCGCTTCCAGATCGCCCAGAACAAGTGCCTGATCATCAAGTATGCCAAAGACACGCGCTACAGCAACAGCTTCTCCACGCACGACCGGTTAGTCCCTGCACCTCTCGGTCCTGTCCAGTCACTAATGCACGGGGTGTTTAGTCCTGCCCTGTCCTATCACTAATGCACGGGGTGTATGGTCCTGTCCTGTCCTATCACTAATGCACAGGACGTATGGTCCTGTCCTATCACTAAGGCACCGGGTGTAGTGTCAGCTCTGCTTAGAGGGCATGGTTGGTATTTTTGATTCCTGGCATTGAACAGTACAAATTGCAGCTACTCTTCATGACACTGGGCAAAGTAGCCAGGACCTGGTCCTCCTAGGGTCTTATCCTAGCTGGAGGGGGTGGGGTGGCTGCTACTGGCCTCTAATGGGTAGAGTTCTAGAACACCACCCAACATCTGCAGTGCTCACACTTAGAATGACCCGTCCCCAAATGTCCATTGTGCCTACAGAGGCTGGGTGACCCTGGGTTGCACCTGGACACAAGTTACAGACACCTAATTGATTTCTTTCTCTTTCTCTGGCTCCTTGCCATCTGGTGACCTTCAGGATATTCTAGGTTGTGTGTTTAATTAACCTGAGTATTCTACACTTCCGTCTCCAGCCACAGAACGGAAATTAAAGTCTAGTGGCTTGGCGGCAAGTTTGGGGATTGGTGTTCTGAACCAGAGGGCTGTCTTTGCTGAGTGCCCTGGACTTGCCCTGCTTACTCTACCACGGAGCTGGAACTGCATCCCAGGGCGACTGTGGGCTGTGCCAAGACTGAGCTGGGGGGAGGGGGCGTTTCTAAATCAGGAATGGGAAGTTGGGTGGAGAATGCCTGGGACTTGGAGTTGAGGTGGGAATTCGAGCCAGGCTTCCTGCAGGCCTCTATGGATAATAGACATTTACCTCTCCATGATTCTAAACCATAACATCCACCACTTGGGATGGATAAGCATCCAGGGAGGAGGGTAAAAACAGAGCCGGTGACTGAATGCTTAGAGATGCAGCATCTGGAGTGGGTCAAAGTCACTAAACAGGCTGATGTTAAAAGCTAGCTGCCGGGGCTGGAGAGATGGCTCAGCAGTTAAGAACGCTGGTTGTTCTTGCAGAAGACCCGGGTTCGAATCCCAGCACCCACATGGCAGCTAACTGTAACTCCAGTTCCAGGGGATCCAATGGCCTCTTCTGTCTTCTGTGGGCACGACACGAGTGCACTTACCTACATACAAGCATAACACTCATACACTATTTAAAAATAAATAAATAAATCTAGCTGCAGCTTGCACCCTGTCCTCCCTCTGATCTCTACTGGATAAAAAGAATTTTAAATGCATGAATGTTGTTCTTTGTTTTTTAGGGTGGTGCTGGTTTGGGTTTTGTGTTTGTGTGTGTGTGTGTGTGTGCACACTTAACGTGCCATGACACGTGTAGGCCACCGGATAGCTGACCTTTCAGTCCTCATCTTTTGCCTTGAGACTAGGATTCTCCTGTTCCCCCTGCCCTCTTGCTGAAGGAACACCATAATTATAAATGCACATGTGAGTTTACGTGGGATCTGAATTCAAGTCCTCATGCTTGCGAGCCCTTTGCCCACTGAACAATCTCCAGCTTTGTTTTCAGTTCATTTATTTACTGAGATGGGGTCTCACTATGTAGCCTAGGCCAGCTGCTTCCTCCTGGGGTTACAGCTGTGCACCACCATGCCTGTCTGGTTTGTTGTTCTTGTTTGTTTGTTTTCCCTCAGGTTTATAAGCACTGGGGTTATAGGCTAGCGTCCCACATCTTGAAGAATATTGTGAGGCAGTCACTTAAATTTGTTTAAATGCCACCATATGCTGCTAAGCCTTTGGGCAACTGCTCTTTTGGAGACTAGATCTGAAAGTCAGGCAGAAATGGAACAGAAGGAAACAACTTTGTAGAACTTAGAAAGGCCGCAGATACCACCAGCCTTCCGCTCCATAGAAAACCCTTGGCCGTGCAGACAGAGGGCGGGGTTCCCAGTGTTGTGTAAGAGCAAGCTGGAGCAGTTCCAAACTGGCTTTCAGATGCAAGGTCTGCAGGCAGGCATCTCACATCCTGGCTCTGCCAGGCTATAGCCACATGAAAGATTCCTTTAATCTTTGAGGGTATCCCTCTGCTTATCCAAGAGGCCAGGACTCTCCTGAACTCAGAGTTGCTGCTCACAGCCTGTCCAGGGCCATATTACAACTTTCTTGGGCCCTGGACAGTTGCCTTTGTGGGGCTATGTCCTCAGTTTAAAAAGTTATGTTTTAAAGCTGGGTATGGTAGTACACACCTTTAGTCCCAGCACTCGGGAGGTAGAATTAGGCAGATTTCTTAGAGAGCCAGGCCAGCCTGGTCTTCACATCAAGTTCCAGGCCATGTGGGGCTACAACGAGACCCTATCTCAAAAAGACCAAAAAAGTGGGAGGCGGGGGTATGTGGACTGGAGAAATGGCTCAGCCATTGAGAGCGCTCACTGGTCTTTCAGAGACTCCAGTTTCAGTTCCAAGCACCCATGCCAGGTGGCTCACAACCACCTATAACTGTAGCACCAGACAACTCTGGTACCTTGCTGGCAGCTCTAGTCACTCACACATACCCCCACACAGACACACTCATACACATACAAAAATGTCAGTCCTGAGGGTGATTTGATTGATGTCCTGTGCACCCACATGACAGCTAACAACTTTATGTAGCTCTAGTTCCAGGGGATCCAGTGCCCTTTTCTGGCCTCTGCAGGCATTGCATGCACATGGTGTACTTACATACATGCAGGCAAGACACTCACACCATAAATCGAAAAAGGAACTCAATCTTATTGTACTGAAAATTATCCAATTATACTACTTCACTCTGTTCAAAGAAAAGATCAGCCGTGAACCTCCACCCACTGCTCCAAGGAGAACTTGAGAGCCGTTTTGAGCTTCATAGTGGACATTGCTAATTTCCAGTGAAGAGACATAATTTGTATTCACTGGTGTTTTGAACACGTGCTCTTGTGCTTCCCCATCCTTCCCCTTCAGACACTGACACAACACCACAGCCTGCTGTTTGGGAAGAGGTGGTCAGGACTGCAGCGACACCCTCACCCTACAAATGGGGCCCAGACCCCTCCCTGGCCTTGCTCACACTCTGGCCTTCTTTTCCTAGGAATACCATGGACGCCTTGCCAGCTTGTCTGCTCCGGGATGTGGCCCAGGAAGCCCTGAGTGTGGCTGTCATTGGCATTGACGAAGGGCAGTTTGTGAGTTGGCTTGTGGGAGTCCCCTGTCCTCCTTTTCCTCTGCTGGTCCAGGAGTGCTGTCTTTTGTCTTTTAGAAAGTCATATGATTAACTTGCTTCCTCTAGTGTCTGAATTCCCTTACCTTTTTTTTTTTTTTTAATATTTATTATTTTTATTTTATGTGTATAAGTGCATTGCCTGTATGTGTGTAAGTGCACCAGTGTCATGCAATGCCCACAGAGAACAGAAGAGGGCATCGGAGCTCCTGGAACTGGAGTTACAAATGGTTGTTAGCCACCATGTGGGTGCTGGGAATTGAACCTTGGTTCTCTGTAAGAGCAGCCAGTGCTCTTAATCACTGAGCCACCTCTCTAGCCCTCCCTTACCTTTTTGCATATTATTGTCACAAAGGATCTATTTTACCTTTTTTTCCATTTTTTAGACAGTCTCACTGTGTAGCCTTTGCTGGACCATACTATGTAGACAAGGTTAGCTTCCATTGAAGAGATCTGCCTGCCTCTGCCTTCTGAATGCTAGGACTAAAAGTGTATGCCACTAGTCCCAGCTTTTCTTTCTTTTTCTTTTTTTTTCCTTTGGCTCCCCACTGGGGAATCAAACCCTGGTCTCCCAAGTGACAGGTTCTTTCTTTTTTTTGAGACAGGGCCTCCCTATAGATCCAGCTAGCCTGTAACTCCCTATTCAGGCCATGATCTCAGAGATCCACCTGCTTCTGCCTCTGGCACCACCCCCCATCCCCCCAGGTGCTGGGACTAAGGGTGGATGCCACCATGCCCAGCTATTTTACCCTTATTAAAAAAGAAAAAGGGGCTGGGCGTGGTGGCGCACACCTTTAATCCCAGCACTCAGGAGGCAGAGGCAGGCGGATCTCTGTGAGTTCAAGGCCAGCCTGGTCTACATAGTTCCAGGACAGCTGGGGCTACAGGGAGACCCTGTCTCAAAAAGACAAAAAAAAGGGAAAAGGGGCTGGAGAGACAGCTCAGGGGTTAAGAGCACTTGCTGCTTTTGCAGAGGATCAGAGTTTGGTTCTCAGCACCCACATCAGACAGCTGATGTTACCTGCATGTAACTCCAGCTCCAGGAGATCCAATGCCCTCTTCTGACCTTTTGTGGGCACCCACACATAGATAAAAATTAAATCTGTAAAAGGATAGACTCCTTTGGGCCTGGAGAGATGTTTCAGTGGTTAAGAGCACTGGTTGCTCTTACAAAGAACCAAGGTTCAAGTCCCAGCACCCACATGGCAGCTAATACCACCCCTAACTCCAGTTCCAGGGGATCTGATGCCTTCTTCTGTGGCCATTGTAGCACATGGGTGCACTTATATACATGCATGCAAAACACACAAACACATAAAGTTAAAAAAAAAAAAAGTGTGATAATATGTAGTCCCAGTATTCCTGAGACAGAGGCAGGCGGATCTCTGGGTTTGAGGTTGGCCCATAGGGACCCTATTTCTATACAGTGAAACCCTACTTCAGAAAATGGAGGCCAGAGTGGAGCTTTTGGGGAGAGCGCCTGCCTCTGCCTTTGAGATGTCTGGGCTTGCAGGCCTTTGCCACCAGCCATACCTGGGATTTTTGGTTTGTTTTAAAATCTTTGTTAATCCTTCAGTTATTTTTCTGAGAAATCTTGTTTTAGTCTTTTCTAGCAAACTGCATTGCTGTTTTCTTCTGGGCACTCTCTGGTTGGTTAGGGGCTGTCTTCTCGAGGTCTTGATTTCCCTCCTGTGCTTTGGAAGTTTTTGCTGCTGCAACTGTAAACTCACTCTAGAGGGACCGAACTGGGCTGGGGGTAAAGCTCAGTTGGTGGAGAGCCAGCATGCATCAGGCCTAGCCTCTATCCCCATCACCGCATAAACTGGCCATGGAGGTACATGCCTGTAATCCTAGCACTGAAGGTTGGAGGTGGGGGATCAGGAGTTCAAAGTTAGCTTTGGCAACAGATCCAGTTTGAGGTCAGCCTGGGCTACATGAAGGCCTGTCCCAAAAAACAAAACAAAACAATGACAAAGGTGCTGCTGGGCTTTAAGTTCGCCTCCAGTGCAGGAGGGAAGGGAGGAGAGTACTTTAACAAATGTGCACCTGACCTGGTGTCACCTGCCTTTAGTCCCAGCACTCGGGAGGTAGAGGTGGGCAGACCTCTGTGAGATCAAGACCAGCAATAGGGAAACCCTGTCTCAAAACACAAAACAAAGTAAAACAAAAAAATATTTGTCTTTGGACAAGGTAGTGCACTCCCATGATCCCTGTATTTGGGAGACTGGGCAGGAGGATTAGGAGTTCAAGGGTAGCCTTAGCTAGAGTGAGACCTTATCTCAAAAAAACAAAAAAAGCCAGGCGTGGTGGCACATGCCTTTGTGGATCCTCTGTGAGTTCGAGGCCAGCGTGGTCTAGAGTGAGTTCCAGGCAGCTGGAGCTACAGGGAGACCCTGTCTCAAAAAGACCAAAAAATTAATAATAATAAGGGGCTGGAGAAATGGCTAAGTTGTTAAGAGCACGGACTGCTCTTGCACGGAACCCAGGTTCGATTCCCAGCACCCACATGGAGGCTAACAACTGTCTGTAACTCCAGTTCCAGGGGATCCGACTCCCTCTTCTGATCTCTGCAGGCATTGCATGACACGGGTGTACTTACATACATGCAGGCAATACCTTCATACACATAAAATAAAAATAATAAAATAAGTCTTAATAATAATAAGGCCAGTGAATGGCTCAAGTGGGTGAAAGCACTTGCTGCCCAAACCTGGCAACCCCAGTTTAATCCCAGAATCCACGAAAGAGAGAACTGACTCTACAGAGTTGTCATCTGACCTCCGTACATGTGCCATGGCGTGGGTGTGCCCACATACATACACAACAATAAAACTCTAAAAGTAGATAAATGGGGCTAGAGAGATGGCTTAGTAATTAAGAATATAAATAAAAGTCTTGCCAGGCATGGTGGCACAGGCCTATAATCTCAACACAGGAAGCTAAGGCAGGTGGATCTCTGATTTTGAGACCACCCTGGTCTATACGTTGATCCTGGTCAGGGTGCCTTGCATGATGTTGACCCAAAAGGTTGCTAGTGCCAGGCCTCTCTCTGCTGGGTGCCACGTCAGCTCCTCGCTATACAGAAAGACAGTGTGGCCAGATGCTTTTTTTTTTTAATTTAATTAATTAATTAATTTTTCTATGTGTATGCATGTATTGCCTGCATGTAGGTAAGTACACCCGTGTCATGCAATGCCCATGGAGGTCAGAAGAGGCTGTCGGATCCCCTGGAACTGGAGTTATGGACAGTTGTTAGCTGCCATGTGGGTGCTGGGATTCAAACCTGGGTCTTCTGCAAGAACAACCAGTGTTCTTAACTGCTGAGCCATCTCTCCAGCTCCAGATGCTTCTAATTGTACACATGTGTTTTATAGAACAGGCCCGTGTCACATATTATGGGAATGGCTAGATCCAGGGATCAGTTTTGCTTTTTTGAGACCTAGTCTCCCTGTAGCCCCAACTGGCCTAGAAATCACTAGGTAGACCAGGCTGGACTTGATCGCACAGAGATCTGCCTGCCTCTGTGTCCCAAGTGCTGGGATCAAAGACGTGCCACCACGCATGGTTAACTTAATAGTTCTTAAAGTTCTGTATGTCTGTGGCATTCTAGGTCCTGGAGATCAAACTGGACCTTGCAGCTAACCTATGCCGGTGGACGATGACTGCTAGGAAGTAGAGAGGGCCTTTGTGGGAGGCTGGGAGGTTATGGTAGGCAGGCTGATGTGAATTCCAGGCCAGCCTGTGCTACATAGTAAGACCCTCCTCTCAAACAAAGATGCCAGGCATGGTGACGCATACCTGTAATCCCAGCACTTGAGAGGCAGAGGCAGGCCAGTCTCTGAGTTCGAGGCCAGCCTGGTCCAAACAGCAAGTTTCAGGCAGCCCAGGGCTGCCTAGTGAGACCCTGTCTTGAAAGAAAGAAAGGGAGGTGGCTCAATCGGCGAGGTGTTTGCTGTGCATGTGTAAGAGTTGGAGTTCAAATCCCCAGCACCTATGTAAAAGCTGGGCTTGGTGGCATGTCCATAATCCCAACACTAAGGAGGCAGAGGCAGGTATATCCCTGGAGCTCACTGGCCAGCCAGCCGAGCTGAATCATTGAGCTCTAAGTCCAGTGAGAGACCCTGGACTTTAACTTAACTTTAATCTTAACTTTTTGTTTGTTCTTGAGACAGGGTCTCCCTGTAGCCCCAGCTGGCCTGGAACTCACTTTGTAGACCAGGCTGGCCTGGAACTCACAGAGATCCACCTGACTCTGCCTTCCAGGTGCTGGGATTAAAGGTGTGCGCCCTATCTTAAAAGCTAAGGTGGAGGGGCCCGAGAGATGGATCGGCAGTTAAGTGCACTGGCCACTCTTGCAAAGGACTCAGGTTTGATTCCCAGCACCCACATGGCGGATAATAACCATGCATTCATATCTCCAGTTCCAGGGGAATCCAGTGCCGTCTTTTGACTTCCTCAGGCATTGCGTGACATGAGTGGCTTTACATACATGCAGGCAATACAATCATTCACATAAAATATTTAAAAAATAATAATAAGGTGGAGAGCAGTTAAGGAAGATACTTGAGCCTATTCAGGGAGACCCCAATGGATTTCAAGTCCATTCTGCCAACTATGCAGGGGTGTGGTGGCACATGCCTTTAGTCTCAGCACCTGGGAGGCAGAGGCAGATCTCTGTGAATTCTAGGCTAGCCTGGTCTACATAGTGAGTTCCAGGCCAGCTGGGGCTACAGGGAGGCCCTTTCTCAAAAAGACCAAAAAAGAAACTAGAAGGCAGATACTTGATACTGGCCTTGGCCTGTACATGTGCAGACACATACACACATGGACACATGTACCATACACAAAGAAAAGAAAGAAAAAGGCCTGAAGGAACTGAGAGAGCCAGTGAGGTCTGAGCAGGGGCAAGGTCTGACCTGCAGCTGTCTCAGGAAAAGGGTGTGGCAGGATCCCACAGGCAGAGGAGCAGTGAGCACCCAGACCATGGCTGCCGGGCAGGAACACATGCAGCTCTGGGGAGGTGGAAAGTTGGAGCGTGGAAGGCCCAACAGTAGAGTGGTGAGGGGGGCTTGGCCACAGCAGAAAGATACACACACCTCTGCAATTCTCATCACCAACGAACACTTGTCTCTTTATCAGAGACGAATTGACAGATGCCTTCAAATCACACACTGACTATATCTGGTAGTTTACCTTTGAATTATTGTCTATGGTGTTTCCTTCAGTCTTCTGCTGAACTATGGGGAAGGGGCAGGGTGCCAGTGGACCTTCGTGTCACCCTCTGCTGGAAGGGCATACAGCTCACAGGAGTGCTGGTACCACCTGTTTCTCTGGCTCCAGGCTGATCCGTGTGGTTGGGTCCGGCAGGGCCTCCAGGGGGCCCCTGCTAGGGTAGCTAGCTCACTCCTCTTTCTACCTGCCTTTCCAGTTCCCTGACATTGTGGAATTCTGTGAGACTATGGCCAATGCGGGCAAAACAGTGATTGTAGCAGCACTAGATGGAACCTTCCAGAGGAAGGTAAGGTGTCTGACCCAGGCCTTGCAGTGAAACCTGGGAGGGAGGCAAGGGTCCTGGGGCAGTGGGTGAGATAGTGTACAAGGTGATCTATCCGGTGGTTTCAGGCCTTGCCTGAGTCCAGCGAGTCCCTGATCTGCCCAGGAGTTGTTCGGAATGGAAGGCATTGCTGGCAGGTGTTCTGACTGGCCAAGGGGTAGGCAGTGGGGTGTGGCTCCAGAAAGCAAGGTCAGGGTGATTTATCCTGAATCATAGGGCTTAAAAGAGAAGTGCGGGACTGGGGAAATAGCTCAGGCCATAAAGTGCTTGCCTTGCAAGCATGAGGAACTGAGTTCAAACCTCAGAACCCACTTTGAATAAAGCTAGACGTGGACTTGTAATCTCAGGGTTGGGGAAGAAGAGAAGGCAGGGTCTTGGGCTCACTGGCAAGCCAGCCTAACCTACTTGGTAAGCTCCGGGCTAAGGAGAAACTCTTGTCTCAATAAACAAGGTGGGCAGAGCCCCCACACAGAAAAAGTACCTGTCTAGGTGCCCAGGCACAATGGCTGTCTTGTATGGCGTAGGCTTTTGGCAGTATCTTGAATCTGGTGCCCCTGGCCGAGAGCGTCGTGAAGCTGACTGCCGTGTGCATGGAGTGTTTCCGGGAAGCTGCTTACACCAAGAGGCTGGGCCTGGAGAAGGAGGTAGCTCCCCCACCTTCTGCCATGGATTGTGGGTCTGGGCAGGCTTCTGCTTCCGAGTCTCACCCTCACACACAACGTCTCTTTTGGACATCAGGTGGAGGTGATTGGTGGAGCAGACAAGTACCACTCCGTGTGCCGCCTCTGCTACTTTAAGAAGTCCTCGGTCCAGCCTGCAGGGCTAGACAACAAAGAGAACTGCCCGGTGCTGGGAAAGCCCGGGGAGGCCTCAGCGGCCAGGAAGCTCTTTGCCCCTCAGCAGGTCCTGCAGTCCAGCTCTGCCAACTGAGGGCACCCAGGGTTTGCCAGCTGCTGCCCCAGGATGGACTCTCAAGAGAGCAGACCTGGGCGGGCTGCTGTGCTTGATGGACACCATGCAGGGACAGGCTCATCAGCCTGTCACATCCCCCTCCTTACCCTCTTGTAGTTCCCTTCCTGGTTGCTAAGGTGACCCACCCCAGGCTGGAGCCTGTCTCTGGCTGGTAGTCAGGGTCTGACCATTTCCCCGAGGTGAGGAGGGGAGGACAAAGCCACAGGCTGTTGTGACATTGGTGCTGTTGGCTTCTTCCCCCTTGGTGGCTTTCACTGCTGGGTTTCTGTTCTCGCTGGTCCTCCAGCCCTCTTCATTGCCCGCCCTTTGTGCTGAAAATCCCTCCTATGCTCCAGCAATGGCCTGCAGAATGTCATCTTCCAGTGGTGGCACTGGCCCTGCTGGGGCTCAGACCCCTGGGGTTTGGCTCTTAAAGAGGGAGGGAGGGAGGAAGGAGAGTCCGTTCTGCTTATAGTGTGTGAAATTAATAATATTAAAGTTTGCTGCCTGGTACAGACATGTTTCTCCTTAACTTGGGTTTTCCCCACATCTTGCCACCCACGATTTGTGGGAAGAGGAGGCTCTTCCCAGATCTTTTAAGAATCACTGGTCTCTTAACCACAACCCTTTGGAACTGATTGTGGAGCGTGTCCTAAGAGGAACGATCTTGCCTTTCTGTCTGGTTGGTTTCAGGACAAAAATGGTAAAGAAAGCAGCCTGAATCCCACAGCTCCACTGGGAGAGCCGAGGGGGTAGTGGTGTTGCCACAAGAGGGTGGTGGTGTTTCCAGCCAGGGCTGGGAGGTCAGGTTTTGTTTGTGAAACAGACACTTGATAGTTTGCAAGCTAAGAAGACAGCTCAGCTGTACCTCAGAAAGTGGGCTGTGGTGGTTCCTGGGAGGCCAGGGTCCTCAGGCTGGGCTGTTAGACTAGGTCTGGTGGGCCACACCCATGTGTGCCCCTGTGCTGTGTCTGGACGCACACCACTGGCTAACCTAACCCAGCTTTGAGAGGCCTGCTCTAGAGGGGAGGCCGATAAGCTCAGAGGCTGAGTGGAGGGCTGTTCTGGGCTTTTGAAAGACACTGTCAGGGCCCACTGTTGATGGCCATTGCACAAAAAAGACAAGAGTTGCCTCAGGGGGCCCTGCTTCCTGACAGATGGGTCTACTCCCCCACTGTGCCCTTCAGTTCTGATGGGAAAGGGCTGCTTGGGAGGCCACATTCAGGGAGGGTGGCTCCTAGGAGCCCCAGACTCTAGGAAGGCAGCAATAGGACCCTGGCAAGCAGTCCAGAAAAATTCATCTTGTTTACAAGCTGAGCACAGTGGCTATTTTAGGATGCTGGTGGAAGGCAGTCTGAGGCATGAGACCCCATGAGGGGGAGTTGACACCCAGTGTTCAAAATACAACTTCTATCTAGAGCCAGGCATGGTAGTGTATGCCCATAAGCCCAGCACTTACGAGGCTGAGGCAGGACTGCCTCAAACTGGAGTCCTCCCTAGGCCATAACAAGACCTTGTCTCCAAAAATAGAGCTCTAGGGAGCTGGGGAGATGGTTCAGACCTTAAGAGCATACCGCCCTTGCAGAGGACCTGACTGAGTTCAGTTCCTGGCACCCTTGTTAGACTCAAGAGTTGCCTGAAACTCTTACTTCTAGTAAGACACGGCAGCACAGGCCTGTATTCCCAGCTTTCAGAAGCTGAGGCAGGAGAAGAGTTTTAAAGCTAGCCTGGGCTACATAGGGAGACTGTCTCAAAAATGGGCTGAGATACAGCTCAGTTGCCTAGCATGCAGGAGGCCCTGGGCTCAACCCTAGCACCACATAAAAACTGGGTGTGGTACACGCTTATAATCCCAGCGCTCACGAGGGCCAGAGGTTCAAGGTCGTCCTTGGCTACACAAGTTTGAAGCCAACCTGAAATACATGTGACCCTGTCTTAAAACACAGAGTAGCCCCAAGTCACCCTCTACCCCTAGGCAGAGACTTAACCAAGGACAACAGACATTGAGAAAAACATTTATTCCATCTCCAAACTAGTCTATAGAACCTGAGGGCAGGGGTGTCCCCACCAAGGCGCTAACACATTCGAACATGTGGGGGCTCCAGCCCTCCCCACACTTATTGCTAACCACTGCAGAGTGTTGACATAAAGCTGGGTGTTCTCTCCGGGCAAAGCCCCTCCGCACTGTCAGGAGGACCAAGAACGAAGTGCTGTCCAGTCCCCCTGCTTGCCTGACATACAGCAGCCTGGGGCAGCTGGCATAGTGGTGACCCCAGAGGACACAGCAGTGAACACTGCTCCCAGCCGTGGCTGGGTGACGAACCTGAGTAAGGAGGTGGGGAGACTGGGCCCAGCATCCCAAGGAGAGAGGTACATGGATCCCCAACCTTGTCTTTGGCAAAAAGGGGGGGCTCCCACGGCCTCAGGATTCAGGGGTGCTACAGCACTTATAAAAGCATATAGTAGGCACCTTCTTTCTGCTTCTGGCTATCTGAGTCAGGGTTCTGGGTTATTAAAGCAACATGGAGCTAAGGACGTAGCTCAATGGGCAAGCACCGGCTAGCAAGTACAAGGCCCTGGGCAGCAACCCCAGTACTGAGGAGGAAAGAAGCAGTGAGGAAAGATTCCCCTAAAAGCCTTTCCTAAAATGCCCTTGAGGAGTAGGTGGGTGGCTGTGATGCCCTGTTGGGCTCAGGCACTTCAGGTACGCTTTGTTGGCTGCAGCTAGGGTGCAGGAAGGCTTGGGATTCTCTGGCTGTCAATTTCGACAGGCAAGGAAGGGGCTGCAGCTCCAGGAGGCAAGCCTCCAGGGGGAAGTCCGGGATAGAGGGGTGGCCCCAAGTACCCCCCTGCCTCTGCCCTGACCAGGCTGCTCAGTACACAGGGGGCGGCTGGTAGCCCTCTGTGGTCTCCACATTCTGGGTGAAGGGCGGCTGTTGGTAGTTCTCCACCGAGGCACTAGGGTAGGAGGCGTAGGCTGTGTTGGGGTCTGGGGTGGGGTCCACGTAGTTCTGGATGAATGCATCCACTCCAGCCTTGTAGCGCTGGTAGGCCAGGGAAGCCAGCACACCCTGCGGGGAGACCCAAGGAGGTGTGGGCAGGGCAAGGAGGCCTCAGTCTTCCCCAAAGACCACAAAGCTGCCCTCCCCAGCCTACCTACCCAGGAAAAGATGGAGAAAAAGCTGAAGGTGATGGCTGCCCGGGCTGAGTCAGCTCCCACCAGCACTGTGTCAGGCTTGGTTGCGGCCCACTGGTTGGTCAGGAAGCAGAAACCAACGAACCACAGGAAAGTCCAGAGAGCTTGGGAGAGGACAGAGGGAAGTCAGCTCCAGGGAGGAGCAGGGGCTTCCCAGGACCCAGGAGAGACTCTAGAGGGAAGGAAGGCCCCAAGGCAGGGCTCTGTTTGGGCTGTTTGCAGAAACCGAGGGAGGTGAGGGCTAAGGGGTCCGCCTACTAGGTAGGATGGACTGATCCAGAGGCCTGGGACTCAGGGCCACACCCTATGCCCCAACACTTCAGCAGTCAGAATGCCTTATGTGTCAGTCCAGGGCGCCAGGGGACCTAGGGGAAGCCTCAGGTGAGGCCCCAAAGGACCTGGGACAAGCCTCAGGTAAGACCTATGACCCTGAGCTGCAATAGGCAGCCCCTCCCAAGGGCACCAAGGCCCCTCAGCCCTGGTTCTAGGGCTCTCACTCCTGTACACCTGCCCAGAGCAGCTGGAGGTGCCACAGGTAGATACCTGAGAACAGGAGGTCTCCAATGACCAGGTACTTGCGGTCGGTAGCATTGCTGATCTGGGGGAAAAGGGCGTCCACCACGAAGAAGAAGGCTGAGGCCAAGAAGGCCAGCACCCCGATGGCAGCGCCATAGCGGCAGGCATCCTCGTTCTGGTTGAACACGCAGTATAACTGGTCAGAGTGGTGGGTGTTGCTGTAACCCTCGCCGAAGATACAGGAGAACACGATCAAGGCAAAGCCCTGACGGGGAGAGGAACATCCGTGAGCGGGTGCCACCCTGCAGATAACCTCGGGGTGCATCCTGTACACGCCCCTCCTAGGGCCTGGAGACAGGGGACCCTGGCAGGACATCAGGAGGCCTCGTGTCTTTCTACTGGTATGTGGTTATGAGACTGGCCTTGTAGCCCCTTCTGGACTCATGGGAATGATGGGCAAACCTCCCTCCCACCACCAGGGGCCCTACCAGGAGGGGTTCTTGGATTTAAAGGGTTGGGGAATAGATGGAGCTATCCTAGGAGGAGACTACCCCCTCCCCAGCTGCTTGATGACATCTGGTTTAGGCTTGTGACTAGGGTAAAGGACGATGTGCCTAGCCCCACTTTGAATGAGTTGGGTTGGTTTGTGACAAGGTTTCGTGTAGCCCAAATTGGATTCAAACTCTCTATGTAGCCCAGGATAAGCATGTGCCAGCTACTCTGCTGGCTTGGGGTGTCCCACCCCACCTCCATGCTAGGACCTTACACATCTTAGGCAAAGCACTCTACTGACAAACTAGATCCTTAGCCTTTGAACAAGGTATTCTTTGTGTGTGTTTGTTGTTTTGAGAAAAGGTAGGTCCCACTATGTAGCCCTGGCTGGCCTGGATGGCTCTGTAGACCAAGCTGGCCTTAAACTCAGTGATCCACCTGCCTTTGCCTCTGGAATGCTGGGATCAAAGGCATGCTCCACCAAGCCCTTCCCGGAAGGTTTTTTAATTTTTAAAATATATTTTTATTATATGTGTATGAGTGTATTGCTTGCATGTATCTAAGTATACCCATGTGTGCAATGCCCAAGGAGGTCAGAAGAGGGCATTAGAGTTACAGATGGTTGTTATCCGCCATGTGGGTTCTAGGATTTGAACCCCGGTCCTCTGCAAGAGCAGTCAGTGCCATCTGTCCAGCCCCATGGAGGTTTTTTTGTGTTCGTTGTTGCTGTTGTTCTTTGAGACAACCTCACTGTGTAGTCCAGGCTGGCCTCGGGCTCTTGGCAATCCTCTTGACTCAGCCCCCTCAGTGCTGGGGTTACAGGTATAAACTATCACCTCTGGCTTGAATGAATTTTAAACAAAATGGTCCACAAAGTCACAGCAGCTAAACTTGAGTCTCTCCCTACCCTCACCCAGCAGCCTGTCTCCAAATCACCTCTACAGCACCATCATCTTCCAGAATGCCCTGTGGAAGGACTCCCACCTCTCCAAGACCCTCTCAACAACAGCTGTGACCCCCTCTATTGCTCCCCTAACCCAAGTAACAACCAACACCCCCCCACCCCCACCCCCACGCCCGCTGGCCAGCTTTTTCCCTACAAGGACTTCCGGCATCTTTGGCACCTTGTCCCATCCCCTCAAGAGAACTCCCTGTCTACAACCTCACCGGTGGCTCTACCCGGTTCTTGGGGTGATCAGACCCCACAGTACTAAGTGTCTGACTCTGCACTAAGACCCCCCCACACACACACCCCCGCAGGAGCCAAGGTGAGGGTGGGGACTCCACCAGCTGGAGCTGGCCAGAAGGAAACTAACTCTTGGGAATGGCCTCAAGTCACCTTCATCCTCCCCAAACCTCAAGGCCACTGCCATGCCCACTTCACCACTGCAGATGCAGCTGAGTCTGTGGGCACCTGTTGCTGCCTCTGAGGCCCTCCCCTCCCCCCTCCCAAGGCCCTGAACTATCTTCCCAGGGCTCTCTCTCAATAGGGATCTGGAACTGGCAGTCACAAGCTCCACCCCCAGCGGGAGATGAAGCCGGAACTCCGGGACCCAGAGCAGAGTGTGTCAAGACTCCTGGCACTGCCATCCCAACCCACAGGGCATCTATCTGCTCTCTGGCACAGCCCAGGATGGAGGTCCACCAGGCTCCACAGCCAGGCGGGGAGGGTGAGGGGTGTTCACAAGGCTCCAAGCCCAAGCAGGTACCCTGTGGGTGCAGCAGGCCCTCGACGTGGTGGGGCTCAGAGCTGGCTGTCCGAAGACAAGCACTCGCGCCGCCATACATACACACCTGGTGCTAGAGGGTTTGCCCAGCTCCGGGGGAGGGAACGCAGCCTGGGTGGAGAGGCAGACCCGCGGCCCGCCCCTGGGTAGGAAAGAAGCCCTATTTCGGGGCGCAGGCCGCCCCGCTCCCTGCACCCCACGTGGCTTCAGAAAGTCCCTTCCCGGTGAATTCCCCACGCTGGGAGTCGCGACGCTCGGGCCACCTGCCGCGGAGTCGCCCCAGGCTCCACCCACTGCCAGCGGGGCCACAGGCCGGCCTCGCCTCGGGGACACCCGCAGCAGACGCCGAGGCCCAGGCGGGGGCAGCCGACGCGGCCCGGAACCACCTACCGGGACCAGGCGCCGGAACCCCGCGGCCCGCAGGGGGCAGGGACGTGGAGGGGCCCGGGCCGGGCCGCCACCTGCCGCGCCCGCTGGCCTGGGTATCGGGTCCCCCGCGGCTCCCGGTCCTCGCCGCCCGACTCACCATACACAGGGCGCGTGTCAGCACCTGAGGCTGCGACAGGAAGCGCCGCAGGTCGAAGCTGCCGCCCGCGTTGGCCGCGCCGTAGGCCCCGCTCTCCATGTCGCCGTCGCCGCCGAGCGCGGATGGCAGAGAACCAGCCGGACCGCCCCGCCCACGGGGGCGTGGCCAGCCGCCGACAGAGGGCGTGGTCCGCCGCCGGTAGGGGGCGTGGTCCGCCGCCGCCAGGGCCGGCCCTGCGCCAGAGGCGGAGGCGGCGGGGGGTGGGGACGCGGGAGCTGAGCGTTGGGGCGCGGACACTGCCGTCCTCCTGCCGGGCGGAGAATCCCCAGAGTCCCCAGGAGGAGGAACCCGCGGTGCCCCCCACCCCCTTACGCCCGGCCCGCGTTTCTGGTCCCCCTCGTCCAGGAGGTTCTACAGACCTGGGGTTTGAACCTCACCCGCCCAGACCCCAGATCCCACCATTCTCCTCCAGGCCCAAGGGCTTGATGCCCAGTGGTGGAGCTCTTGCCTAGCACGTGGGAGACCCCGGGTTCCATCCCCAGGACGACAGTAATAATAATAATTGTGGCTTCCGCCAGTCTGGTTACTCTTCCCCGGTCTCTGGAGCTAAGCGTGGGGTCGGGTGGGGAACAGCCTCTTTCCCGGTCTTCCTGGACCTGCCAGACAGAAGGCTGTGAAGGTCAGGGTGTCCACACACTTCCAGGCACCTGGTGTGGTGTCACACTGCCTGTAATCCCAGGACCTGAGAATGGCTGGCAAGAGATCCAGGAGTTCAAGGGCAGCCTGAGCTACATGAGATCCTCCCTAAAACAAACAAAGCCAGCGAGATGGCTCAGCAGGTTTCTGACAAGCCGGACAATCTGAGTTCAATCCTCAGGACCCACTTGGTGGAAGGAGAGGACTGACTCCTGCAACTTGTCCTCTGACCCTCACATATGGACCATAGCATGTCTCCCCACCCCCCAACGCACACACAAATAAATGCCGATTTTTATTTAATTGTGTTTTTTTTTTTTCTTTTTTTGGTCTTTTTGAGACAGGGTCTCTCTGTAGCCCCAGCTGGCCTGGAACTCACTATGTATGGGACTAAAGGTGTGTGCGAACACACCTGGCAAATAAATGTAATTTTTCAAAGTTCAAAAGAGATGGGACTGGAGAGATGGTTCAGCAGTTAAGGGCACTGGCTGTTTTTACAGAGGACAGGAGTTAGGTTCCCAGCACCCACATGGTGGCTAACAACTGTCTGTAACTCCATTTCCAGGGGATCCTACACCCTCTTCTGGCCTCCGCAGGCATTGAACACACATGGTGCATTTACATGCATGCAGGCAAACACTCATACACATAAAAACAAATTTTTAAAAAAGAAATAAAAAATTAAAAACTCACAAGATTCTTTGTCCTTAGAACCCAGCTGTCCCCTTTCCCCAAAAGAGAGCTACTAGCTGGTACGAACTTCGTGATGGGGGCAGACCGAGGGCCGCACATCACACTGTGGGTTAGGAATAAAGCAGCTGTACCTGGTGGGCTGGACAGTGGAAGAGCTGAGCTAGCAGCCTGGCCCCTGGGGAGGGGGACCACTGGGGAGAAGAGGGGAGCTGGTCAGAGGAGCTGGACGTTTTCACAAGTGGACTCCACCCCTCCTCCAGCTGCTGGAGGTGAACACAGGGCTGCACAGGCCCCCTGCTTGCTGTCTACCTACTACACTTTGCACACCCACACCAAGTGTGTTTGCTGAAGGAGTCCTGGCTGGTGGGAACTTCTCTCTCCACATCTACCTTCTTTGTTTGTTTGTTTGTTTGTTTCTTTCTTTCTTTCTTTCTTTCTTTCCTTTCCTTTCCTTTTCTTTCCTTTTCTTTTTTGAGATAGTGTCTTGCTATGTAGTTCTGACTAGACTGGAACTCACTATGTAGACCAGGCTGGCCTTGAACTCACCAAGATCTGCCTGCCCTCTGCCTTTGCCTCCCAACTGCTGGGATTAAAGACATGAACCACCATATCTGAATTTTTATTTTCTTTCAATTTTTTTTTCTGTGCCAGGGATTTGTCTAAATAAATTTTATTTTGTGTGTTGAAGGCTCCTCTGGGGCACAAATTCCGAAACTGCTTCTATTTATGATGCCATCCATCCATCCATCCATCCATCCATCTATTCATCTACCCATCCATCTATCCATCCATCCATCCATCCATCTATCCATCCATCCATCTGTCCAAATATCTATCCATCTATCCATCCATCTATCTATCCATCTATCCATCCATCTACCCATCCATCCATCTATCCATCCATCCATCTGTCCATCCATCTATCCATCTATCCATTCATCTATTTATCCCTCTATCTCTCCATCTATCCATCCATCCATTCATCTATCCATCCATCTATCCATCTATCTATCCCTCTATCCATCTATCCATCCATTCATCCACCCACCCATCCATCTATCCATATATCTATCTATCCCTCTATGCATCTATCTATCCATCCATTCATCCACCCACCCATCCATCTATCCATATATCCCTCTATCCATCTATCTATCTATCCATCTGTCCACCCATATATCTATTCATCTATGTATCCATCTATGTACCTATCTATCCATCCATTCATCCATCTATCCACCCATCTATATCCATCTGTCCATCCATCCACCTATCCATCTGTCCACCCATCTATATCCATCTATCCACCTATCCATATATCTATCCATCTATCATCTATCTGTCCGTCCATCCATCCATCCATCCATCCATCTATCTACCTATCATCATCTGTCATCTATCTGTCTATCTATCTATCTATCTATCTATCTATCTATCTGTGTGTCTGTCTGTCTGTCTATCTATCATCATCATCTATCATCTATCGATCTATCATCAGTCATCTACACACACACACACACAAACACACACACACACACACACACAAATCAGGGCAGAAAGCAAAGGCAGATAGATCTCTGTGAGTTCAAGGCCAACAAGTTCCAGGCTAGCCAGAACCACATAGTGAGACCCTGTCTCAAATATATATATACATAAATCAAACATTTACTGATTTAAAAATCATAAAAACAGCTAGGGATGTATCTCACACTTCCTAGCATGCAGGGCGCTCTAGGTTCACTCCCCAGCACAGCTCTGAGTTTGCTTCCTGGGCATAGTAGTGCACCTCTGTAATCCTAGCACTCAGGAGGTGGAGGCAGGATGATCAGAAGCTTAAGGTCATCTTTGGCTACACATAAGTTCAATGGCAGCATGGGATACATGAGATCTATCTCAAAAAAAAATAGATAAAACAAAAAAACCCAACATTCTTTGGTATACATATAACTGTGCCATTTATTATAACTGAAAACAAATTTGCTACTGAGACAGATGTGTTTGTTTATATTACATAAATAATTAAATCTTGGCTGGATATTTGCTACTGTAGGATGTAGAGCATCTTCAACGTTTTTCAGAGTTGACTGATATTTTGATTTCCTAATTGTCAGTACTGAGACTGTCACTTCCATAAATGCACAGTACAAAATGGCAGAAGTATGTTTGTTAGAGATTCTGGTCTATCCTCAAGCCAAAATTCACTTAACAATTTTTTTTATATAAAATTCATGTCAGGGGTGGGAGAGATGGTGCAGCGGTTAAGAACACTGTTCTTGCAGAAGACCCAGGTTCGAATCCTAGAACCTACATGGGGCTAACAACTGTCCGTAAGTCCAGTTCCAGGGGATCCGACAGCCTCTTCTGTCCTCAGCGGGCATTGCACGACACAGGTGCACTTACCTACATGCAGGCAATACACGCATATACATAAAATAAAAATAATAAAATATTTTTAAAAACTCAAGCCAGCAATTTTTGCTTTTATTTTTACTTATTAACTTTTTAGTTCTTTGAGATGAGATTTATGAAGCCCAGACGAACCCTGAACTCTTGATTCTGCAGCCTGCATTTTCCAAGTGCTGGGATTACAGGCCTGGGTCATCACATCGAAAAACCTTTTACTATTACCAAAGTTTTGATGACCCTCACATTCAATTATGTAACCCCATATGTGGTTGTGACTCACAGTTTAAGAAGCAGGGCTCTAATGCAGTAGTAGTAAGCATATCCATTGTCTCTTAGTCACCTGTGTTTGTTTTTGTGGTCAGAGCTGCGAGCAGCCTTTCTCCTCCAGCACAAATCCCACATGCAATATAATTCTGCTCCCTGAGGCTTCATTGTGCACTGCATATATCTACTATTTTGTTTGCCCCCCCAACCCCCACACAAACAGCTTGTCTTCCTTTCAATGGTAGCTCTTTGTATAGGGCAGTGAGGCAAGCCCAGGGTGCTCTTAGGGGATACTGCCAAGTCTCAGGCTTCTGGTCACAACCTGATGACAAGGGAGTTATGGTCCAGGTCAAGCAGACTCACCCACTTTTATGGTGCCAAGTGCATCAATGCACTTACCTCATTAAAAGCAGAGGGCACTGAATCACCAAGAGGCCATGTGCTGGCCCCTAGTCACATGACCAATAGGAACCAGGCCTCTGCACCCCATTTTATAGAAAGGAACAGTGAGTCTCAGAGAGGTGACCTGGTCTCTCATGAGTGGGGCCTCTGGGAAGGACAGATGTGGGAGGATGGACCAAAAGGTTCAGCGAATATCAAGCTGAGACATTAAGTGGCCACCAGTCAAGGCCAGTAGCATCTGCAAAGGCCTTGACCACTTCACACGTCAGTGATGTGATGGCTTATGAGAGGCCGACAGTGGTGCTCTTCCAGAGGACAGAATTCTGGGCCCACATGGTCCTGGGAGGCCCCGTGAGACTCTAGGGACTCCCTCACCAGAGGTCAGCTGGGAGCCCCAGTTAGGGTGGGAATGGATGAGGGACACGCCAACTGCCAGCCTTTGACCTTCTTGCTCAGCTTTGGGTTGGGGCCTTGTAACTTGGTGGCCATCACACCCTATAAGCCAGTCAGGACCCCAGATGGTCACAGCGGTGGTCAGCAGCCCCTGCCTCCCCACCTCAAGCTCTTGTGGCTTACCTGGTCCAGCCCAGCATCCCAGAACCAATGGATGCAATGGAGATGAGACTGCCGGCTGTCACAACGGTGCGCATCAAGGACAGCTCCCCTGTGAGGGTCAGGAGAAGCTGGGCTGGGCCAAGGGAGGCCCACGGCATCCTGCCCGAGCCCCGCTTGGGCAGTGGCCAGGCCTAGCTGTTCCCCAACCCTGAGCTCCTTCCTAGGCACTGATGTCATCCCCACCCCAGCCTGGAAAGGCCCTCTCACCTGGGGGGAGCAGGGTACGGGGGCTGTTCTGGACACCGACTCTGTTTTCAGCCTGGCACCGGAACCAGCCGGACATCCGGGTCAGTGGGAGGGAGAAGCTGGCCGGCTGCCCATGGAGTGGCTTCTGCTGTGCATAAACACGACCATCGTTCCCAATCAAGCGATAGGTGATGGGTGGGCTGCCCGAGGATGCCAGGCAGGACAGCTCCACTGTGGGGCCTAAGTCTCCATCTTGCAGAGTGAAGTTAGCCTGCAGCTGGGACACCGGCTCTGGCAGGGTGGGAGGGGGTAGCACAGGTATGATGAACTGCGTTTCTGCTCCTTACAACATGCCTCATGAGCCCAGAGGCTTAGCCGCGACTGCCACCTCCCCCAGGCAGGCCGCCAGGATGCCCTCTCCACTGCATGTCTGGGCTTCTAGACTGCTTGCAATGTGTACCACACAATTTCATTTTAAATTTATTATTTCTTCTTTGGCATTTAATTTTTTTAACTATTTATTTTTTATTTTATGTGCACAAGTGTTATGCCTGCATGTACATAAGGGCACCCATGCATGCAGTGACTGTGGCAGTCAGAAGAGGGCATCAGATCCCCTGGAACTGGAGTTACAGGTGGTTGCGAGCCACCATGTGGGTGCTGGGGAACCAAACCCCAGTCCTCTGCAAGAGCAGCCAGTGCTCTTAACCCCTGAGCCATCTCTCCAGTCCCTTAAATCTTTTCTTAGTTACCATTGGTGGGTGTGTGTGCATGTGGAGGTCAGAGGACAACTTCTGGGGAGCCGATTCTCTCCTTCCACCTTTACATAGATTCCAGGGATTGAACTCAGGTCATCAGGCCTGCAAGGCAAGCGCTTTACCCATGGAGCTATCTGCTGGCCCTGTTTTTTAATATATATATATATATTTTTTTATTTGTTTGTTTTGGTTTGGTTTGGTTTGGTTTTTTTGAGACAGGGTCTCCCTGTAGCCCCAGCTGGCCTGGAGTTCACTATGTAGACCAGGCTGGCCTTGAACTCACAGAGATCCGCCTGTCTCTGCCTCCTGAGTGCTGGGATTAAAGGTGTGCGCCACTACACCCAGCTAATATATTTTAAGACAGGAACTTATACAGACCAGGCTGGCCTCAAATTTTCAATCCTCCTGCCTCTGCCTCCCGAGTGTGACACCGTACCAGCTTTTTGGGGGACAATGTTTCATGTAACCCTAGCTAGACTCCAACTTGCATGGATTCTCCTGCCTCAGCCTCTTGCGTGGAATCATGGTGTGGCACCTCCATGCCTGGCTCTTGGTTTTGTTTCCCTGAAGTCCATTTCTGGTTGTGAGGCTCAGCAAATAAAACTGGCAGGTACCCAGTTAAATTTGAACTTCAGATACACAGTGAGTGTTTTTTTTCTATGTTCATTTACTTTTTGTGTACATGTACACAGACACACATGCATGAACACATGAAGGTGAGAGGACAGTTTTGGGCTATCAGTTTCTTCCTTCAATCACATGGGGCCCAGGGATTGAACTCAAGTCAGCAGGTTTGTGGGCAAACACATTTGCCATCTCATCTGCCAACAATGAATCCTTTTTTTTAGTGTCAGTATGTCCTATGTAAAATTTATCTGGCGTCCCTAATTATATTTTCTCAGTTAAGTCAAAATTACAGGAGGCCATTGTTTTGAGCTAAGCTTCTGCACAGACAAGGCTAAAAATAACAACGGAGTCACACATGCTAAGTTTCACCTCACCAAGCTAAAACTGATCACATTATCTGACCTTCTGAGAATTCTGGATCAGAGAGAACATCCAGATTTGCCCTACAGGCTGTTTTCTGTTGGCAGGGTTAAAGAGTCCTCTGAGCTAATCCTTAGCAAAAAACAGTGACCCAGCCAGGCGTGGTCGCCTCAAATCCCCGCCTTCAAGAGTCTAAGGGAAAAAAAAATGGAAAAGAAAAAGAAGGAAAAAAGGGGGCTAGAGAGCTGGCTCAGCAGTTAAGCAGACTTACTGCTCTTGTAGAAAACCGGAGTTTGATTCCCACCTCTGTCAGGCAGCTCAAAACTGCCAGTAATTCTAGCTTCAGGAGATCCACACCCTCTTCTGGCCTCTCTGGGCACCTACACACATGTGGTACACATACAGACAGATAGATGACAGACAGACACGTACACATAATTTAAAATTTCTTTTGGTCTTTTTTTTTTTGGTTTTTTTGAGACAGGGTCTCCCTGTAGCTCCAGCTCACTGGAACTCACTCTGTAGACCAGGCTGGCCTCAAACTCACAGAGGATCTGCCTGCCTCTGCCTCCCAAGTGCTGAGATTAAAGGCGTGTGCCACCATGCCCAGCAATTTAATTTTTTTAATAGTAAAGTTTACAATTTTTAGGGGCTGGAGAGATGGCTCAGTGGTTAAGAACACTGCTTGTTCTTGCAGAAGACCAGGTTCGAATCCCAGCACCCACATGGCAGCTAACAACTGTCTGTAACTCCAGTCCCAGGGGATCCGCAACCTCTCTGACCTCCAAGGGCATTGCATGACATGCGTGCACTTATCTACATGCAGGCAATACATGCATACACATAAAATAAAAATAATAAATAAATCTTTTTAAAAAAAGTTTTCAACTTTTAGAAAAGAGTCTGAGGCAGGATACTTGCCATGAATTCAAGGTCAGCCTTGACTACATAGAGAATTCCAGGCCAACCCAGGTTACAGCATGAAACCCTGTCTCAGTAAGTAAATAAATGGTGACTGAAGGGAACCTGGTGTTTATTTTTCTGTTTGTTTTTCTCCTCTAGCTTTCATGAGGAATGCAGGGTTTTGTGCTCTAGGCAAACTTGCTACCACTGAGCTACACTGCCTCGGATGCTGTCTGCTAAGTCTCTGTTGTTAAGACTGTGCCTTCCAAAGAAAGCAACCTTGAAATGACGAATACTCTTCTTTCCTGCTTTCTTAATTTCGTTTCCTTTTTTTTTTCTTTTGTCTTTTTGAGACAGGGTTTCTCTGTAATCCCAGTTGGCCTGGAACTTGCTATGCAGGCTGGCCTTGAACTCACAGAGATTGGCCTGCCTCTGCCTCCCAAGTGCTGGTATCAAAGGTGTGTACCACCACACCCGGCTTTAATTTTATTGTGTGTGTGTGTGTGCATGTGTGTGCGTGCACCTAAGTGTATATGTGCACTGAGTACAGGTGCCCACAGAGGCCAGAAGAGGGCACTGGATCTGCTGGAGCTGGAGCTGGAGCTGGAGTTGAGCTCATGTGGGTTCTGGGAACTGAAGTCAGGTCCTCTGCAAAAGCAGCAGTTACACCACTGAGCCCTCTCTGCAGCGCCTCACTCAATCATCTCTAAGCTCCCTGGGACGGTTCTGTGATCACCTGGTTTCACAGGTGAAACAACTAAGAAATTGACTTGTCTAAGGCCCATAGCTGGCATGTGTGGAAACCACATTCTTCCATCTGCTGGGCTCCAGACCCTGGGCACCCTCTTCTAGGCTATTTCTCTGGTGTGCTTAGGGTATAGGGATGTTGGACCCACTGAGGCCAGCAATACTTCCTGGTTCCCACTGGTCAGGGCTCCCACTAAGAAAGCAGTGGCATCTGGGACAGAAATGGAAAAAAGCAGGAGTGGATAGGATGGGGTTTGAAACCAGCTTCCGTCACTTACTGGTTGCCTAGAGTAACTTCCTCAACCCCAGAGAGCTTCAGCCCATCACTGCAGATGGGAACCTGACTGCCTCTGAGTCTGTGCAGGTGACCTGAGGTAATTCACAGTCATGTCTGTAGTGCCAGCTCCAGGCCAGGACCACCCTGTCAGGAGGCTGTGCACTGGGGCACCAGGGAACTGAGCAGACTCTCCCCACTCTGTGGCCCTCCTCTCTCTCCTCTGACCTCCCCATTTCAGAGTCCACCATTCCCTCCCCTAGGCCAGGGGCTCCCATTAATTACATCCCAACAGGCCCCTGACCCCTTCCATGCTCCCGCACTCACTGGTCCACAGTTCCCAGTACATCTGCAGTCTCGTGCTGGGCCCATAGGTGATGGAGTTGGAGGCCGCCTGACAGAAGTAGGTGAGTAGGTCCGGACTGGACTTGAGTGTGATGTTGATGTTGAATAAGGCGGGGCTGGAGTTGTGTACCACCTTTTTTGCCACCAGGATGCCTCGGCTGGCCAAGAGAGAGTAGGTGATGGGCTGGGGCAACTTGGGTGCCTCGCATGTTATGCGCACTAGACGGCTTTGAGGGTAAACCTCCAGGACTTTGTAGGCAATGGTGATGTCTATGAGGAAAGCCAGTCAGGGAAAGAGAGAAAAAAAAAGGAGAGAGAGAGAGAGAGAGAGAGAGAGAGAGAGAGAGAGAGAGAGAGACTTAGTCCAGCAACTGTATTCCTAGACACATTGCAACAGAACTGAAAACAGACTCCGACATCACACACACACACACGCACATGCACACACACACACATGCACACGCACACACAAGCACACACATGCACGCACACACACACGCGCACACACACATGCACACAGCAGCGGCAGCTCTGATCACAGCCAGCAAGAGGTGGAAACAGCCTCAACTCTTAGTTGAATAGATGAACAAGATGCAGCAGAGACACACAAAGGAATATTACTCAGTATTAAAGACTGAGTGCTTGGAGGTATGGTTCCACGGGAGAGCCCGAGCCTGCCTCCGTTTGATCTCCAGCACTGACAAAAGTATTAAGCATAACACATGCTGCAACACAAATCTTGACATGATGCTATGTCTCAGTCAGACACAAGGGAAGCTTTTGTGTGAGTCCAGTTTTTCTCTGAGAGGCTAGAGCGATAACTCAGCATTAAGAGTTCAAATGAAAACTGGGTGCAGTGGTGCACACCTTTAATCCTAGCTCTCAGGAGGCAGAAGCAGGCAGATCCCTGTGATTGAGGCCAGTCTGGTCTACGAAGTGGCCAGCCGGGGCCACAGGGAGACCCTGTCTCAAAAAACAAAACAAAACAAACAAACAAACAAAAAGAGAGATAAGTTTTCTTTAAAAAATTATTACTGGGGCTGGAGAGCTAGCTCAGCAGTTAAGAGCACTGGCTACTTTTGCAGAAGACCTGGGTTCAATTCCCAGCACCAACGTGGTTAACAGGCATCCTTAACTCCAGTTCTAGGGGATCTGATGTTCTCTTTTGAACCCTGTGGGCATTGCATAACACAGGTACACTTACATACATGCAGGCAATATACTCATACACATAAAAAATAATTAAAAAATAAAATATCTAAAAAATTTATTTATTTATTTATTTAGTTAGTTAATTTTTGAGACAGAGTCTTACTATGTAGCCCCAGCTGACCTGGAATTCTCTATGTGTAGAAGGCTGACTTTGAACTCACAAAGATCTACCTGCCTCTGCCTCCCCAGTGCTGGGAGTAAGGGTGTGCACCACCATGCCCAGGTTATTATTGTTTTAATATTTTATTTATTATTTTTATTTTATATTTATGAGTATTTTGCCTGCATGTATGCAAGTGTACCTGTGTCCTGAAATGCCTGCAGAGGCCAGAAGAGGACATCAGATCCCCTAGAACTGGAGTTACTGAGAGTTGTGAGCTGCCATGTGGGTGCTGGGAATCGAACCCGGGTCCTCTGCAAGAGCAGTCAGTGCTCTTAACTGCTGAGCCATCTCTCCAGCCCCACATTATTTTTTTTAATGTGTTGTCTTTTGCCTATATGTAAGTGTACCTGTGTCCTGAAATGCCTGCAGAGGCCAGAAGAGGACATCAGATCCCCTAGAACTGGAGTTACTGAGAGTTGTGAGCTGCCATGTGGGTGCTGGGAACCAAACCCAGGTCTTCTGCAAGAGCAGCCAATGCTCTTAACCACCGAACCATCTTTCTAGCCTCAATTTTTTTTTTTTTTTTTGTCTTTTTGAGATAGGGTCTCCCTGTAGACCAGGCTGGTCTTGAACTCACAGAGATCCACCTGACTCTCCCTCCCAAGTGCTGGCACTAAAGGTGTGTGGGCACCACTTACAAAGGCATGTGCCCATGGGGTTTTTTCCCTACATCTTGGCTGAGCTTTCCAGATCCGAGACTGCCAGAGTTCCGCCAAGATGGTGAACTCCCATGGCCTCCTTGGCTTCTTCCAAGTCCACCCCTCATGCAACTGAAGCTGACTGACTGGGTGGGAGGGCTGACTGTCCTCCCTTTCTACAGAGTCTCTTAGGGTTCAGATATTCAGCTGTTGACAGTTCTTTCAGAGGACACGCCTGTCTAACACCAGCATAGATTATTTTTTTAGAGAGATACGGTCTTGTGTAGCCTAGACTAGACTCAAACTCACAATCCTTTCACCTTGGTTTCTTACATTCTGGGGTTACTAGTGTGTGCCACTGTGCCAGGCTATAAGCCTGTTTTTGTGAAAGATCCAAAATAGGAAAATCCACAGAGAAGAAGCAGGCTTGTGCTTAGCAGGACCAGGAAAGGGAACATAGAGTCACTGCTTAGCCGTGAGAGTTCTCCTTTTGGGGTGCTGAACACATTTGCTAAAAGGTAGTGAATTATCACTTTAATCTTTAGTTGTTTTAAAGAGAAAAGATAAAAGTTTAATAAGATTATGCATTAATACATCTCCTTGAGGGGCTGGAGAGATGGCTCAGCAGCTAAGAGCATTGGCTCTCTTGCAGAGGACCCAGGTTTGATTCCCAGCACCCACATGGTGACTAACAATCATTTGTAACTCCAGTTCCAGGGGATCTGATACCCTCTTCTGACTTCCATGGGCATGTATGACACAGGAGCACTTACATACAGGCAGACAATAAACTCATACACATGAACTAAAAATAATAAAATATTTTTAAAATCTACTTGAAAATGCAGTTTCACAAGAAGATTATATTCACAGTCTCATAACAAGTAGTGTCACTTACCCAAAGCTAAGGGTAGGCATTCCTAGGAATATTTAGCCACAATTAACAATAAATACTTGGGTATCACATTTCTAGTAAATTGACATTATGAATGTTTAATTTTTTGGTGACAGGGTTTTATGTAGCCCAGGCTGGCCTCAAACTCACTATGTAGCTGAGGATGACCTTAAATTCTTGGTTCTCCTGCCTCTACCTCCCAAGTGCTAAAACTAAAGGCATTTGACACCACAATTTTATGTGGTTCTAGGGAGTAAACCCAGGGCCTTGTGCTGATAGGCAAGTCCTCTACCAACTGAGCTACAACTCCAGCCCTGAGTGATATCTACAACCCGAACCCTGAGTGATACCTTTAATTTTTTTTTTTGATCTTTTTGAGACAGGGTCTCCCTGTAGCCACAGCTACAGGAACTCACTATGGTCTGGAACTCACTATGTAGACCAGGCTGGCCTTGAACTCACAGAGATCCGCCTGCCTCTGCTTCCGGAATGCAGGGACTAAAGGCGTGCACCACCATGCCTGGCATCGAGTGATACCTTTAAATAGTTAATTTTCTGTTATGTGAATTTCTTTTTTTTTTTTTTTCAGACAAGGTAGGGTCTTTTCTCTATGTAGTTGGGCTTCGCCTAGAATTTGCCATATAATCTGGGCTGGCTTCAAAGTCACAATCTTCCCACATCAGCCTCCTGAGAACTGCATCACCAAAGTGTGCTGTCCACGTCCTGGTAAAGTAAGCCTTTGAGGAGTGGGAGACCGCTCTAGGTAACAAGCCTGCTCATTGCACCTGGACACACTCCTCCCTGGGCTCAGGGTGGCCTCCTGCCTTCAACCCAGGTCCAGGACACCTCCCCCTTCTGGATTGCAAACCTGCTCATGAGTGCCTTCTCTGTCTCTGTCTCTCTCTCTGTCTCTCTCTCTGTCTCTGTCTGTCTCTCTGTCTCTCTGTCTCTCTAAAATAGAGTATAATGGGACAAGGGCCTTTTCTGCCATTTTGGGCCTCATGTTGTCCTTGCTGACTCCCTAAAACAGCCACTGGGATTAAACCAGACACCTTGGAGCAGAGGTGTAGGACAGAACCATGTATTACAGATGAGTAAGGAAACAATGGAATAGTGTGGGTAGGAGTAGTTCTGGGCAGGGGTACAAGAAAAGAAATACAAAGACCTCGTGCTGAATGAAGCCAGGTGAGGTACACACCTGTAGTCCCAGGAGTTGAGGCGGTGGAGGCAGAGAATCAGAATTCAAAATCATCCTTGGTACACAAATTTGAGTCCAGCCTAGGCTATCTGAGAGCCTGCCTTCACTAAAAAGTGTGGGGAGGGGGAATGTGTGGAGGGGTGGGCTGGAGAGATGGCTCAGTGGTTACAAGCACTGGCTGCCCTTTTCCAAGGACCTGGGTTCAGTTCCCAGCACCCACATGGCAGCTAATAACTATTTGTAACTCCAGTTCCAGGGGATCCAAAAACCCTCTTCTGACCTCCACAGGCTCCTTCATACATAGTGCACACATACACTCAGGAATACATGCACAGAAAAGGTTAAAAACCATAATTATTTAAAAAAAGGAGTCTGGCATGGTGGTGCACACCTTTAATCCCAGTACTCGGGAGGCAAAGGCAGGTGGGTCACTGTGAGTTCCCAGCCAGCCTGGTCTACATATTAAGTTCCAGACCAACCAGGGCTGTATTGTGAAACCCTATTTAAAAAAAAAAAAAAAGAAAAATAGGGGCTGGGTGTGGAGGCACACGCCTTTAATCCCAGCACTTGGGAGGCAGAGGCAGGTGGATCTCTGTGAGTTCAAGGCCAGCCTGGTCTACATAGTGAGTTCCAGGACAGCTGGGGCTACAGGGAGACCCTGTCTCAAAAAGACTGAAAAAAAAAAGTAAATAAAATAAAATAAAGAGGAGGACAAGGATGAAGAGGGAGAAAAGGAAAAGAAAAAGTAAATCTGGACTCCGTACATTGGCCTCATCCTGCTTGGCCACCGGGAAGCTTCACCACAATCTGAAACTCCCCGCAATGGAGACACTGATGCTCTCACAAACACTCCCCAGTGCTCCCCGGAAATTCTGACCCCTCTGCCTGCTTTCTTTCAGACCCTAGTTCCCAACTGCCTCAGGGGATCTTGGTGTCTACAGGCATTTCGGGTGAGCGCAGAGGCCGGGGACCCTCTGGCCCCATAACTAAGAATGATCAGCTGAGACAGGCAGGCAGAGGAGGCAGTGGTGGCAGGGGTGGCCTCTGGCCTGAGGACCCTTCCCTGTACAGCCTGCACAGACACCAACAGAGCCTGCCTCCTTTGTGGCTTTAAAAAATATATTTTATTTATTTGTATTTATTTATTTATTATTTATTTATTTATTATTTATTATCTTTTTGAGACAGGGTCTCTCTGTAGCCCTAACTGGCCTGGAACTTACTAGGCTGGCCTCCAACTCACAGAGATCTGTCTGCCTCTGCCTTCCAAGTGCTGAGATGAAAGGCGTGCGCCACCACCCTGGCGAGAACCCCTACTTTTGAGGGGGATACTTTTTTTTAAGTGCAAACAAAATTTAGATTTGAGGTAGTGGAGGTCCTGCTAAAGCAACTGTCCTGTCTTGCAGACTTTGACTGTCTTGCCAGTTTGAACCTTGGGGTAAACAAGTTCCCCTCATCAGGATCCAAAGGTTTTTGGGGGTCAGAATCTGCCTCACAGGGGAAGTGATTTAAGGTCAATGTGTAGTGACATTTTTTCCCCTCCCTTCCTGAAGGGAAATGATCTTGACTTTTAAAAGTGAAAAGGAAAAAACCAAACCAAACCCAGTCCCTTTAATTTCCACTTCAGTAGCTATGAACAGAACCTTGTTTTGCAAAGGGTGCACAGACTGCAATCATTCAGTACAGTTTGCTCTGTAGAAGCCAAGGTCTCTCCACATCTTGGAGCCTGGTGCGGTGACACTTGCCTGTCATCCTGCACTTGGAAGATGTCAGCAGGAAGGTCAGGATTCAAGGTCATCTTCAACTACAGAGAAAGTTCGAGGGCCCACAAGTGTGCTTGTCTTTAGATTATTGGATTCTGTGGCTCATGGCTGTATCTCACTGATAAAAGGGGCTCTATCATTTAAATTAAAATTTAGGCATACTGGAGGGGATGGCTCAACAGTCAAGAGTACTTGCTGTTCTTTTTTGGTGTGGAGTTCTTTTTGGGTCTCCCTACAGCCCCAGCTGGCCTGGAACTCACTATGTAGACCAGGCTAGCCTTGAGCTCGCAGAGATCCACGTGCCTCTGCCTCTCAAGTGCTGTACTTGCTCTTCTTGCAGAGGACCAAGTTCAGTTCCTAGCATCCACATCAGGGGATCACAACTGCCTGTAACTCTGGCTCTAGGGGATCCCACACCCACACAAACTTAAATAAAAAATAAAATAAGTCTTAAAAAAATTAAGTTGGGGGGCTGGAGAGATGGCTCAGGGGTTAAAGAGCATTAGCTGTTCTTGCAGAAGACCTGGGTTCAAGTCCCAGCACCCACATGGCAGCTAACAACTGTCCCTAACTCCAGTTCCAGGGGATCCGACAGCCTCTTCTGTCCTCCAAGGGCATTCATGACACAGGCGCACTTACATACATGCAGGCATAACACTTGTACACATAAAAATAAAAATAAATAAAATTGGGGCTGGAGAGATGGCTCCACGGTTAAGAACACTGGCTGTTCTTGCAGAGGACCCGGGTTTGAATTCCACACCCACATGGCGGCTAACAACTGTCCCTAACTCCAGTTCCAGGGGATCTGACGCCCTCTTCTGACCTCTGAGGGCATTTCACGACACAGGTGCACCTACCTACATGCAGGTACTATACTCATACACATGAAATAAAAATAATGAATAAAACATTGAAAAATTAAGTCAGGAGGGCTGGGGATATAGCTAGGTTGGTAGTGCTTGCTGAGCGTGCACTGGATTCAGTCCTCAGTATCTGGGTATGGTGGTGCACAGTACATCTCAGTACTCTGAGCTAAGTCCCTAGCCCTTGAAATCTTTTCTTTTTAAAGGATTTATTTATTTTTATTTATGTCTATGTGTGTGCTTGCACACATGCATACAGATACCAGAAGAGGGCATTGGATCCCCTGAAGCGGGAGTTATAGGTAGTTGTGAGCTGTCCTTGGGTGCTGGGAACTGGACTTAGGTCTTCTGCAAGAGCAGCCAGTGCTCTTAACCGCTGAGTTGTCCCTCTAGCCCAGTTTTTTTTTTTTTTTTTTTTTTCAGTCTTTTTGAGACAGGGTCTCCCTGTAGCTCCAGCTGCCTGGAACTCACTCTGTAGACCAGGCTGGCCTCGAATTCCCAGAGGATCCGCCTGCCTTTGCCTCCCAAGTGCTGGGTTAAAGGTGTGCTTCTAGCCCCTGTTTTTTTGTTTTCTTTTTATTTGGTCTTTTTGAGACAGGGTCTCTCTATTGCCCCAGCTGGCCTGGAACTGGCTATGTAGACCAGGCTGGCCTCAAACTCCCAGAGATCCACCTGTCTCTTGCCTCTGCCTCCCAAGTGCTTGGATTAAAGGTGTGCACCACCACACCCATGTAGCCCAGGCTAGCCTCGACTGGGCTATGTAGCTGTGTAGGGTTTGTTTCTGCCTCTCAAGGCCTGGAACAGTGTCAGCAACCAGACACACTCGGTATTTCTTCAAAGAATGATTTATCGGTCTGCCTTTTAGGAGTTTTGTTAGCAGGAATTGGTCGGCCGAAATGTGAGCAGAGGCTGTGGGCTGAGATGGTGGGGAGGCCGGACCTCCTCTGCCCAGGTACTTTCCTGAGACCTAACAGACGGTTCTTTTTTTAGCTGTGACACTAACAACCTGTTTCTTTTTTACTACAAATGAGGAAATGATAGTTGTGCCTGTGCCTCATCAAGCGAGACCTGCGTCAATACCACCGGAGAGCAGGCCTTAAGCAGAACAGAGAGGGATGCCCTGGGCACAAAGTGAAGAACCAGACTGAGAAGAGAGGGCAGGGGCTGTGGGCCTGCTTTGCATTCCCTCCTCCCTGGAGGGGGAGGAGAGGGAGGAGGGGGAGGAGGAGGGGGAGAAGCAGCAGCAGAAGGAAGACAAAGAGGAAGAGGAGGAAGGAAAGGGAAGAATG